TATTTCAATATGCATAAATATTAATAAAATAATATATAAAAAATTCAAAAAAAAATTTTTTTTACCTGAATCAAACTGGTCAACAGTTCGATCAATGAACGGTTTGGTCCAGTGTTAGCGGTTCGATCTGGTTAGGACGGTTTGATTCAGCATTTCAGGATGGTTCGGTTCGATATGGGTCGGTTCAACTGGACCCGTCAAAGGGTGAAGGAGATGCAGCTCATCGGGTCGATTACGCAGACTCCAAGTCGAGTCTGCGGGTTGATGCGCGGATCCTAGGTGCTTAAACGACATCGTTTTGAGCCTTTATTGAAACGACGTCGTTTTGATCTTTGGTAATTTCTATACAAGCCAAAATTTTTCTCTTTCTGTCTATTTTTCATTTCTCTTTCTCTCTCTAACTCTCCTCCATTCCCAGAGCCTTTCTCTTAAGGCAGGTCGCTGGTTGTCGGTCGCCCTACCAGTCGCCGTCGATGGTCGCTGACCGATGGTCAAAAAATTTTAAAAAACACTAAAATGCTTCTCTCGACTCTTTGAACCCAAATCTGGCCTTCGTTTTACCAAAAAGAGACCTAAACAGCCTAAATCTGCTTTTGAGCTTTCAGCCAAAACCCACTCTCTTTTTTTTTTGTATTCTGACTTGTTGTTTGTTGCAACTGACTTTGATTGATTTTTTTTTTACAGGTGTTTTTGGCGCTGGGTTCCCTTTTCTAGGGGACTGTTTTTTTATTTTTTTATTTTTGTAGAATTTTTTTTTACAGAAAACCCTTTTTTTATAAAATTTTTTTGATAGTTTTTTTTTATCCTTCCCCTTTTATTGTAGGTAACAAGCTCTATTTATAGAGCTTTATGGGATTCAAATACCAGATTTTCTGAGATTCGAATCTTAGATTTTTAACGGGCCTAGACTTTTGGGTAACCGAAATCCATGCTACCAAATTGATAGGGTGTCAGGCGGCAGCCGGCAGCTAGTGATGACGATTTTGGGCTTTAGGGATTGTGCATTTAATGCACTAGATTTAAAATCGTATAAGGAAAGAAGAAAAAGGAAAAAGAAAGAAAGAAAGAAAGAAAAAGAAAAAAATAAAAAAAAGAAAAAAATAGTAATAATAATAATAATAATAATAATAATAATGATAATAATAAAAAAAAATGGTGTTTACAATCAGTTTTCAAAAAAATAAAGAAATAAAAGATAATTTTATCCTTCAAACTATTTGAGGATTATTTCAAAATAAGCCTACAAAACTATTAGGAGACTTTACTAATTTTTTTTGAAATAAAATAAATTAATAAATCCAACGGCGGAGCTTATTTAGAGTGTGACACTAGTCTTTATGAATACTCTTAAGGTGAGAGAATTATCTTAAATTGCTATCAAACTATTGGGATAATTTTAAGACTAATTTTCAATATTTAATATTTTGGTAAATTATAAACATTTTTTAAGGCTTGGATAATTTAGAATTAAACTAGTACCATTCTGTAGATGGGCATTATGAGGGTGCTAAAACTTTTCACACGCGTAACCGTACTCTCAAACCTAAACTCTGATTTTATAGATCAAATTTGATTAGGTGACCAATCACACATAAACAAAAATAGATTGGTGGTGGCTCCACTAATCCATTTCTAGCAGTAGGATAACAAATCTATACTCTGTGACACTAGGAATAAATTGTGCAAATCCTAGTTTATGAGATGTAAAAATAATTGCTAAAAATTATCTTGCTTTTAGTTTTTCCCAATTCTACATCTATATTTATGTTAGCTGTAAGACTAGTCCAAAAAAAATTAAGCAGTGTGTGCTTCATGTGACTATAGGAATAATGTTATAATTAGATTTATCTTTTATTTGGTTGGATTATATTTGTTTTCTTATCAGATAAAGATAAGGTTTTCTTGTTTTATACTAGAAACCGGGATGCCTAAATTCTATAAATGGTTTAGATCTCTCCAGGTATATTTTTAGCTTATGTAATGGTTTGTGCCTCTTACATGACTATTAGATTATCTTCCTAGCTAATTCTATATAACCTCGCACCTTGTCAACTTTTTAATGGTGCTATTTTTTCCCTCACAGTTTTGTTTCAGTGTTACTTTTGTAACCTAGCTTCTACTTTAAAGTTAAATGTATCTAACATTTATTAAATAGTTTTTTGCTTATTCAAAAATGCTTTTCTTGGTATTAAATGTGAATGAAATTGTATAGAGTATCATTAGGGTAAGTAAGGCCTACATATTAACTCTTTATATGTGATCCATAAAATGTGTACATAAACAAAAAAGTGTTGATACAGGTTAAACATGAAAGTGTTGCTCAACTACAAGCATTACATACAAGAGGTAGAGGGAAAAGAAAGCAACAAAATAGGCTACCATACCTATTTGGCATTAGTTTATATACTAACTTGGATACTGAAAAGTTAATTCTAAATGTAAGCATATTAAACTTTTCAAATTGATAAATACATGTGTTTTTAAAAATAAACTAATCTCTCTAACTTTTTTTTACTCTATCTATCTTATATAACCTAGGATACCAAGTGAAACTTTGATTGATGAGGCCAACATAACTGGGAGACCATATTGTAACAACAAGAAAAACTTAATATAAATGTTTATGTTTAATATTAGTTAATACCATAACTTTATTTTTTATTTTTTTTAGTTTCATGTATTTTTTGTTGAATTTGTTATTTGGCAATCCAATCTGCTAATTGCCTTTTGACATATGTAATTGCAAATTCATGGTTTAATGTAGGTGTTGTATATTGTGTTGTTTTTCTTCTTTTATTTACAAGTCTAAATGGTGATATTTGTTATTTTTGCTTGTTTATTTTCTCTTTTCTTTTTGTTGTATGATACACAAGTAAGTTTAAACGGTGAAAGATATTGCATGTTCTTTCTCTATTTATTTATTCTTTTATTTTTGTTATATGATATACAAGTAGGTTTGAACGGTGAAAGATATTAAGTATTTTTTCCTATTTATTTCCTTTTTTATTTTTGTTGTATTGCAATTTTTTGCTCCTAATGCGTTTTTTATTTTTTATTTTTTTGTAAAATGTCATGTCAGCAATCCACGTGAACATCATTTACGATGTCATCATGCTAGTTGTTAAAGTTAGTCTAATGTAACGAAATTTTACTTTTTTACATTAATTTTAAAATTTTATAGGTTTATTTACATAAAAATAAAAGAATATGGACTTATTTGCATGCAATAAAATGCTAGAGGCTTAAATTCATTTTGTATAAAAAGTTGAAGGTATATTTAAGTATTAAGCCAAAGATAAATGTAACTACAATTCAAAAAGAGAAAAAATAATAATAATTAATTTATGTTCTATCATGATTGGAATATAGCTATGTAATTATATAATAAAGAAACCAAACAAATTGGATTAGAGTGAAAATACACCATAAGTGGCCTATGAAACTAATTAATAAAGGATATGTTAAATTGTATATAGCTTATCTTCAGGAAAAATTTATTAATATGAGAGGATCGAAGCACAAAAAAATATTTAATCCATTCAAACAGTTAAAAAGTTAGAAATCCACAATAACAAGATAATAACTATTACAATAATTACTAACAACTAAATGAATTATCTGACTCATTTTACCTTTCATCTCAATAGTCTTGAAAATTCTTTTTAATAATAGATTATAGAACACAAATAGCACTTTATAAAATAATAATGTCAATAAGTATGATCTTAAAGAATAGCACTAATAATTGCAAGGCTATAAAAAATAATAATGCGCTAAAAATTTCAAGGCTATAAACTATAATAATGCTTGTGATGGTCCGCAACACTTAAGTCTTGATTTTCTCAAGTACACAAATAAAAAAACATTAAATCAAATACATGTACGAATTGGGATTTCAAGGAACAAACATCACAATTCAAATTCATAAAATAATATTATCAATCACTAAAAAATATAGTAAAAAAACATAAATAAAGAATCAAGAATCCAAACTTACCACAAAAATAGAAATTTCTATTCAACCATCATGAAAGACTTTTTTAAGTTTGATTTTGAAAACTGATGAAAATTTGATTACTCTATCTTTTATAAATATATATATATATATATATATATTACTTGTAAAAGGAAATCATAAATATTTATTTGATAATTATTTAATTTTAAAAAAATTTTAAATTTTGTAAAATATAGTTTATCCAAGTTTAATTTTAATTAAGATAAAAGACATTAGTATAATTTTAAATTTAAATATGTATATAATTTTAATTTGAGATAAAATATTTTTTTATTTTAAATCATTGCAAAATAAAAACAAAAAAATTAATAAATAACAGTAATTTAACCACAAACTTTATATATATAAATTTATATGAATATTGATTTCGACGATGTATGATTTTTTATAGTTCATAAGATTTAGAGATTTAATTTTTAAAAATTATTTGAATTTTGTACGTCAAATATATAGATAACAGTGAGGAATGAGAGATATTTTTTTAGATTTAAATTACAATAAAATTTATATATTTGAAAGATTTAGATAAATATAAATTTTAAAATTTTTAAAATTAAATAATTAATTTAATAAAATTATTTAAAAATATCTTACGTGTCAATAATATAAATTGTTCACTTAAATATTTATATAAATAAATCTTATTAAATTTTTATATATATTATAATATAATATTATATATCATTTGTAAGCATAACAATGGCTATTCTATCTTCCTTCGCCCTTCTCTCCTCCCCTTCTCCTTTCCTCTCCCGTCCCCTAAGAAAACAAATCATACCAACATGAAGCTTAAAAGATTAAAAGAACAAGGTAAGCTTGTTAGTTGGTAGAAACAGAGAATTTGTGCTTGTACTTTGTGTGCAGCAGTGGACCGTGGTCGACACGTGCCATCAAAGGCTTAGGGCACACACTACATTCACGAATAACATGAAAGACTATAATTGGATTGGACAATCACTTTGTCTTTTTTTTTTTTTTTCTACAAAAACCATGAGTCTTATTGCCTACTTATAGATTAACGTTTTATCCCTTATTCACGATATTAAAAAAATTCCCAAACCAAATACACACGCCTTTGCTCCTTTCTCTCCGGTGGAAGTCACCGACTCTGACCTACCACACCCTTCCTCTCCTGTTTCTACTCCATCAACCTGCACACAAAGGAAAAAAACCTAACCCTTTTTTTTTTTTTAATTCCTAATAAATTCTAAATCTTAAAAAGGAAAAAAAAAGAAATTGACTTTCGAATTAATCGCAGCTTTAATTATTGATTTTGGAATTCAGTTTAGGCGTTGTATAATAGGAGTTGAGAAATTAAGCGATGTCGGAGAAGTTCTCGCCGACACTCAGAATCGGAGATCTCAGCGATTTCATTGCACCGTCTCAAGCCTGCGTCGTTTCTCTTAAAGGACTCAAAGCAAACCCTAACAAACCCGAACCTCGGGTACATATACCTTTACTTCATCTCTTTCCTCAATTATCAATCTTATTTTTTTTATTTTGACTAAATTTGATTTGGAATTAGATGCTAGAGTTAGTTTTGATATGTAATTTTCTATTTTGATTTTACTTTTAGCTGATTGGTTTGTTGGTGTTCTATATAAGTTCAGAAGCATTATTCTACTAGTTATGAAATTATTTAGCAGTAGAAGAGAATAAATATTTGTTTCTTTTCGTTACGTTTTTCTTATTTGAAATACTTTGGTGAAGGTAAAGGTTTTAACTGCGAAGAGTCAGCAGACTGAACCAGTGAAAATTTCACTCAAGGACTGCTTGGCATGCAGGTAATATTTTCCTCTATCTTCAACTGATGGTTCTTCTCTTTAAAATTGCTCATCTTGTTCATTGGAAGGAACACTTTTGTATATTAATGGTATATTGTAACGTTAATTCTAAAAGTTTGTGCCAATTACAATCAGAAATAAAACAAGAATTGAACGTTGAGTGCCTAACTTTTTACTGCCAATTGCTTTCTTGATTAATGCTTTAACTTTTATTCATTTTTTATTTACTTGTAATTTCTTTACGATGTTGCAGCGGGTGCATAACCTCAGCGGAGACTGTAATGCTTGAGAAGCAAAGCTTAGATGAATTCCTTTTCAATATTAATAAGGGGAAGGCTGTAATCGTATCCCTCTCTCCACAGTCAAGGGCCTCCCTTGCGGCCCACTTTGGCATCCCTCCACTACAGGTATGATAGAAAATCGGAAACCCTTAAACGTAAGACCAAGTATGTAAGGGCTTTGATAGTGGCAACTCTACCCCCTGACATACTCTTCTGTTTCATTCCCACTATAAGAAAAAAAAAAAAAACCCGAGAGGGTTAAATCAATCAATTTTCTCTTACCACACAATTAAGTAATTGCACACCCTGCCAAACCTGTAATTCCTTTTGATTAAATCTGCCACAACCCAAAAGATTCCCAACATCTAAATTATTTATAGTTTTGTTTTCATTTCTATTGAAGTAAAAGAAATGTTACCTAGATGTTATTTAAGTTATTGGTGCATGCTTCTAATCATGGAAGTTCTTTTCTCATATCAGGTTTTCAAGAAACTCACAACTTTTTTAAAGTCCTTGGGAGTAAAGGCTGTTTTTGATACAAGTTGTAGCAGAGACTTAACACTTATTGAAACATGCAATGAGTTCATTGCTAGATATAAACAAAGCCAGGCAACTGATGACGAGAAAAGTAAATCTTTGCTTCCAATGCTCTCTTCATCATGTCCAGGTATACATCTGCCTATAAAAGTTTAGCAAGCATTTAGTAGCATTATTCTCTCCCCAAAACCCCAGAATGCTAATGCACATGATGACATGAACTTGTGTATTATATGTGGAGTAGAAGACTATGGCAGGAATGCCATAGTGATATGTAGAATTCTTGTGATGAAAAACGTTTTTCTGTGCATCTTTCTCTAATTGCAGGTTGGATATGCTATGCTGAAAAGCAACTTGGATCCTTTATTTTGCCGTACATATCCTCAGTTAAGAGTCCTCAGCAATCAATGGGAGCTGCAATTAAGCATCACATGTGTCTAACAATGGGCTTCAGGTAGTCTTGTCTGTTCAACGTTTTATACATCCTACTTGAGCACTTTCTTTTGATTATGATTGTGCCATGAACAACATTTCTCTAACAGTGGCAACCTAACACCTGTAGGATGTGTTTGGTGTATAAGATTATGATGGGATAGGATAAGATAATATTTTGAATAGAATTAGATTAAATAACGTCATCCTATCTTGTATTTGATGTGTGTAAGAATTAGGATAAGATAATTTATTTATTGGTTAAAATTATCCTTCCTCAAAATTTATACAATTTAAATTATTGATGTAATTTTTAAGGGTATAATAGGATATGTAAGTTCAATCCCATGGATCAAAAATAATCCTCTCCACTTTGGGAGGATTGAATCATTCTATACCAAGAGAATGATGAATCTTCCTTGTAATCCTATTCTTTTTTTTTTTAGATACAAACCAAACATAATATAAGATGATTATCATCCTATCCTATCCATCATCTTATGCACCAAACATGATCGTAATGTCTTTTGGTGATGATATTTGGCTTTAAATTTCAGATGAGTTGTGTGAGTTGCAATTCTCTGATAAAGGGAATTTCTGTGGTTACCACTGAATTACAACATCTTGTTTAAAACTACTAAGCCTCCCATCCTTCTAATGCCAGATGAAAAGCTATAAAGGGGACATAAGATTCAAGGTTGTAATCATAAAAAAACACATGTTCATTTGACGTACTAACAAAGGAGAACGAAAGTGGAATAATATACGGTGTATGTTTTATATGTATGTGTATCATGAAGTCATTTTCATATCCTTTTATTGTACCTCCAAAATAATGAGTATAAGAGAAGGATTATTATAATTGCTTTCTTTTTTTTTTACAATGTTGGCCATAGAACCTCTCTCCACCCCCTTTTCTCTTTTCTATCTACTATTTAAGTACAATAAAAAGTAAGCTTTTCATCTATGGGCTGACTAATCAGGAGGGCCAATCTTCAGTTGGCATCTTATGAAAACTTGTAGTTTTATATCTTTAAACTATCCAAATTTTAAAGGAAATGGAGCATGCCAAAACTTTTTATTATCCTTAATGCTTGAATGACTAGATTATTCATTTTACTTTATAGGCCGGACGACATTTACCATGTAACTGTGATGCCATGTTATGATAAAAAGCTTGAGGCTGCCAGGGAGGATTTTGTTTTCCAAGCTGAATCTAATGATGGTAGCCATGCAAATGAAGGTGTTTTTATCACAGAGGTTGACTCAGTCTTGACATCTGGAGAAATTTTAGACTTGATACAGGTGAAATCTGGGTTTCATTTATCTTAATTTCCATGTGCATTCTGATGTAACAGTTTTATACTGTTTATTTGATGGCTTTCTGTAATTATTTTTTTAATTTAGTTGGTTAATTTTGCAGTTGAAAGAAGTCGATTTAAAAGCCTTGGAAGAGTCACCTCTAGATAGCATGTAAGCACCACAATTATCCTCCTTAAAGTGGCCTTCTATTGCCACTTTGCAGCTACATACAATTGAATAATGTTGTCTGCAGGTTGACAAATGTTGATGAACAAGGACATCTTTATGGGGTGTCTGGAGGCTCTGGAGGTTATGCAGAAACTGTTTTCCGGTATGCTGCAAAAGTTCTCTTTGGCAGAGAAATTGATGGCCCACTGGACTTCAGAGTTATAAGAAATTCTGATTTCCGAGAATTGAGTTTAGAAGTAAGTTGTGCTTCTTAATTTGATGGTATTTGTTAGCATTAAAGAAGTCCTAACATAAATAAAACATGTACTCGAACCTGAAGAGTGACCTTTCTGTATTCATAATGGCTGTATTCTTGATGTATTAAATCGCGGCTTTATTATTTAACACATACCATTTAAAAAATCATGGTAGCAACTTCAACACTACATGTTATTTGTTTTCTTTAATATCCTGACAGTCCACAATGTAGGTGGAGGGAAGAACCATGCTGAAATTCGCCCTATGTTATGGCTTCCAAAACCTGCAAAACATCGTCAGGAAAGTTAAAACACAGAAATGTGATTATCAATATGTGGAGGTCATGGCATGCCCTTCAGGTTTTTGTTTTATATCGTTTTAATTTTGGATATCGAATTGGGTTTGATACATTCACTAGTGACTTATTATGAGAAACTGGAAATTCAGGTTAAGCATAACATTTTGGTTTTGTTAATATATGCAGGTTGCTTGAATGGTGGAGGTCAAATCAAGCCAAAGCCAGGACAATCTCCCAAGGAGTTAATCAAATCATTAGAAGCCATTTACATGGAAAATGTGAGTTTCTATCTTCAGTTGGGAATCTATGGAAACCTGAAGATAATTCATCAAGCTAAATATTTCATTACGACAACAATTGAAGCATTAACTATGCTTGCAATGCTTTACTGCTAAAAGTGAACTGATTTCAAATGCTATGTGAAGATTAATGTTTACATGCGTATACTCTCAAAGTCTCTTTTGAAATATCTATTTGAATTCCTTAAGAGTTCTATGTAGGAATAAACCTATGCATTTATTCCTTTTTTTTTCTTTTTTAGTTCAATTGATTCTTCTTTATGCCTTCTAGGTTTTGGAAGCTGATCCTTTTAAGAACCCTCTGGTGAAACGCTTGTATGATGAGTGGCTTGCGCATCCGGGTTCAGAAAAAGCTAAAAGATACATGCACACGGGATACCACCCTGTTGTAAAAAGTATCACTGCGCAGTTGCACAATTGGTAAAGACTTTCTAACACCTGGTCCTGTATAACATGGGAACTTCCCTTTATTGTCTCTCAATGAGTGGAGTGCTTGTTGTCAGCCATGGCACATCTCTACTCGCCTTTCACTCCTCTCGTAAGACGTAATTGCATTTGCAAGGTGATCAATTTTGATAGAGTAAAGAAAGTTTATTTTGAAGAAAATTGTTTATTATCACAATGTTCTTGTGTGTGTGTATATGCTCAGACAAAATAGAAAGAATTGATTTGTGTTCCTACTTTCCTTCCCCCTCCCTTGATAGTTGCCACAGTTTATTCTTTTTGCTCCAAATAAAGTCATCTTTGGTATTGTACATGGGTTTTTTACATGTTATTCCTGTTCTTTGTATAATCGAACAGGTTTGGGGGGGGGGGGGGGGGGTGCTCTGTTGTTAAGAGGATATATGCAAGGATTCTTAATGAAGGAAACGGTTTGATTGGGTGTTATTGATACATGTGTATTAAAACCATGGGCATTAATACCATATCGGACAATCTTTTGATTTTTTTTTTTTAAATGTGATATGCTGGAATTAGTTGTTTGGTGTATCATTTCGAATTTTTTGGTTTAATATAAATATATTTATAAATGTATATAAACTTGTACATTATAATCCTATTAATAATTTATAAAATAAATATGCAATATTTTCAAAAATGAAATAAATAAGTTTAACAATATAAAAAATATATAATAAAATTTTTATGATATGTTTAAATACTTAATTTGATCATATAATATTTAAATAAATATTTTTTATGTAAATATTAAGATGTAAATAAAAAGATGAAAAAATTAATTTTGGTTTCAAGACTGATAGACTTTAAAAAGAATATAATTGCTTTTTTGAAAGAGATTAAAATATTTATGAATTTTGGTTTAAAAGAATAAAGTATAAAAGAAAATAAGTTACAATAAAAAAAAAAAAAAGAAAATCAACTTTTAAATGTTGTTTTTTCCATTAATTTTATTTGTATTAGATTAAAAATAATCAAACAATAAAAGATAAATAAAAAATTATAAGAATTTTTTTGCATTAACCTATCAGTCGAATAAATCAATAAATTGAAATTAATTGAAACTAATTAAAATCAACGAAAACAATTAGTATTATTTAATATTGAATCTAAAATAAAAAATTATCTTTTAAGTTTATCGTATTTTGATATAACTAAAGCATATTGACAGATACAGTCGGTAGTGAAATGAAATTAATAATTATGATTGAAATGAAAGGTGCTTACTTGAATAAATTTAATAATTCGTATATTTATATAATATAAAATAATAAAAATTTACGTATTCTTATCGTGTTTTATACAAAATTATGTCACAATTTTTGTTGATATTCTTTTTTGTTAAAATTATGTGTCAGTGCAGATTTTTTTTCATTTTCTTTTCTTTCATCTTTTTAATAAACTAATTTTGTAAAAAAATATGGATATGTTCACGTAATATTTTATTAGAGTCCTTTTACTTTCTTTTTTATTTGTATTAACTTTTTTTACCTTGTTGTACCCCATAATTCATGTACTCGTTAAGACATCCACTTCTCTATTAACATTTAAAAAAAAAATTTAATTTAAAGATTGAATTTGTTTTCAATTATTTGATTAAAAGTAAAAAATCAAAAATAAACAAAATAAGATATAACTAATGGATATATGTTGGTTTTTTTTAATATATCTAATTAAAAAGACAAGAATTAAAGTAGGAAAAAAACTTTTAAAAGTAAAATAAATTAAAAAAGAGAAAATTGAGTTGCAATGTGATATTCGTAATGATGAGTTTTTTGCACAAAATTTATATCATAGATTGAATTTTTTTAATTTACTTTTTTTCTCTTTTTTTATTTTGATATTTAATTTCTTTTTTGCAAAGTGAATTTGATGTTATTGGTTAAAAACATCTTTTTTCTTATACCATAAATTAAATAAAACCCAAAAACAAAGAAAAAAATGAAATCTCGATGTCACGTTGACATTGTAATTAATATTTTTTTAACAAAATCATCTAATTATAAAAAATACAAAAAGAAATTTTTAATCAATAATACAAAATTAGCTTTAAACATAACAAAAAATAAAATATTAAAAATATTTATTAAATATAAAAAAGAAAGAGAAAAACTAAAAAAAAAAAAAACAAAATGACGAAAAGTAAAAAAAAAAAAAAGAGTTGGTATATAACATCATTAATGATTAGATGTTATTTGAAAAATGTATATTATAAATTAAAAAAAAAGACTAAAAAAGAATAAAAGAAAAAGGATTAATCCGGATGTGATGTTGATATCTCAATTAATTTTTATTTTAAAAAATTATCAAATTAAAAAAAGAAAATGCAACTAAAAATATGTTTAATAATTATATCAAATGGGCCTAACATAAAAAAAAAATTAAAATATTTAAGAATATTTAGTAAATAAAAAAGAACAAATAGTAAACAAGAAAAAGATTAAAAAACAAAAGTGAAAAAGAATGAAATTTACTTAGACACAGAATATACCTTTAATATCATGTGAGTTATTAAAAAAATAATATCTAAAAAATAATTTACTAAATATATAAATAAAGAAAAATTAAAAAACTAAAAAAACACATTATATACTTTTGATATCGAGTGAGCCTAACAAAAAAAATAAAATATAATAAATTAATGAAGGTTTTTTTTAAAAAAAAAGAGATAAAAATTGATATCAAGTCTAGAAAAAATAAAAAAACGTGAGATAGCAAATGAAAAAATTTTAAAAGAATAAAGATAAATATGAGTCCAAAAAGTAGAAATTTGAATCTCATATTTTTAAAAAACTTACGACTTCTAGAAAAAAAAACAGTGGGTATATAAAAATGTAAGCTCCATTTAAATAAAAACATAAAATAAATAAAAAAAATAAAAATAAAAAAACTCAAGAAGAAATATAGAAAAATGATGGGTCTTACTAAAAAAATACAAAACAAAAAGGTAAATCTATAAAAAAAATCATAATCCCTATTAAAATAAGAAACATTAAAAATATAAAAAATATAAAATAAAACTAAAAAATGAATCCTAAAAAAATAACATGTCCAACAAAAAAATTAATAATAAATATACGAAAAGTTTTAAAAAATATAAAAAAAATAAAATGATAAAAAAGACTTATCCAAAGAAAAAAAAAAAAGGTCCTACTATTCAAAAATTAATGGATCCCATTTTTAAAAATTTTATAATATAACATACTTAAAAATTTAAGAAAACAAAAAAATAATAAAAAAAGAAAAATAAACTAAACAAAAAAATTGGTTCCACAGAAAGAGTAATGGGTCCCATTTGAATGAAATAAAATTAATTTTATAATAAAATATATAAAATATGAAAAAAAAAAAAACAATTAAAAAAACAAAAAACCAAAAAACAAACTGAGAAGCCGACACGTGGTGTGCGCAATGCCAACTATTTGCAGCATTTGTATTCGATATATATATATCTTCAGTTTAATGATTCTTATATATATTTATAACACGCACACCACGTGTCGGCTTCTCAGTTTGTTTTTTGGTTTCTGTTTTTTTAACTGTTTTTCCCTTTTTTATATATTTTATTTATATATATATATATATATCTTCAGCTTAATGATTCTTTTTTTTTTTCTCTCTAGTTGTACCAATAATTTTTTCTATTTCTATTTCACATTTAACCGATTTTAATGTCTAATCTTAAGTTTATCTCAAAATTTTGTTTATTTTTTTGTTGTAAATAAAATCTAAAATTTTTTTAAAGAAAAAAGTAATCATTCTTATATTTTATTTATAAATTTTGTTTTTAAATAGTGCTTTTAAACTACTTTTTTTTAATATATTACCAGGTGGACATCACATGTTATCACATGTCAAAATTTTTTGTTTTGACATCTCTAATTACTTGCTTTTTATAAAATTTATCTGCTTAAAAGATGATAGATTAAAAAACTAAATTTGGTTAGCACGTTGATACTTAAATTGATCTCTTATTCCTACAAAATATATCTAATAAAAATAAAAATATAAAATAAAAATTACAAAAAGTAAAAAATTAAAAAAAGTTAATTAAGGGTGTCATAAGAATATTTTCATTGAGTTTAAATTATTAATTTCTTAAACTAAAGTATCAAATAATAACTCTATTAAAATGATACATATATAAATATAAAATTAAATTAATAATAAAATATATACTTTTATTTATATTCTAAAATGAGTGGGAACAAAAAACACTTCCACCCCAATCTTGTATTTTATAAAACAAACTCAACTCATCCTAATTCGATCTCAATTTAAATAAAACTACTTTCTATTAGAGCGAGATGGATTAAAATTTATCAGATATAAATTATTTTAGTATTTTTATCAATCGGTGCTTTTATTATAAAATTTTTTTAATTAAAAAATAAAAATAAATGCAACAAAAAAAGGTACCTTATGGACATCTCTATTGGCCTCATTTTTATAACAAAATTAATTTAATAAAAAATATAAAAACAACAAAAAAGGTAAAAGATCAAAACAATTAAAAAAAAGAAAAATAAAAAAAGAGCTCATTGAGATACTATTTGGATATCCTAATTGAGCTTATAGTATTATTTTTAAATTAGTTATTGAATAATAATTTTATTAATTAAAATAAAAAATGAAAAAAAAAGCAAAAATGGAGAAATACAGCAAAAGGAAAAGAAAGATCATTAAGGTGCCACGTTGACATTCAAATTGAATTTAAAATGTTAATATATTAAATTAAGGTATAAAATAATAACTCTATTAATATAATGCATATATATAAATATAAAATTAAATATATAATAAAATATATACCTTGATATATAACATGAGATAGTTTGGGTCAAAGCATCCTAAATCTGCTTTTGACCCGTTCTTACTTTCTATGAAAAAATCAACCCAACTTAACTTGATACCGATTTTTTACACAAAGGAGTATATCGAATTGAGATGAATAGAAACCTATCGAATATTGATTGCTTTATCATCCTTATCAACAAGCTCATTTTATTATAAAATTGATTTTATTAAAAAACACAAAAAATAATAAAGAAAATAAACAAATGGGGATACTAAGTGAACTTTAATTGACATTTTTTACAAAAATTATCTAATAAAAAACAAACGAAAAAAAAAAAAAAAAGT